TTTTTTTGCTTTTGAAGAATTTGGGTAATCTACTAATAAACCGCCATAGAAACCAGCCTGTAGTGCAATAGAAATTATATATTAGTGATTTTATCAAATTTTAATTTAATGAAGAAATAATTACTTTCATGGCCTGCGTTGTCAATAATTCAACTTGATTTGCATTTTCAGGATAAAATTGAAATACAGCCCTCGCCTGCCTTGTTAAACATGCATATAGAGATTCAAAAAATCTGCAAAACATTAATTAGTATCTACTTCATTAAAAATCTACTTCAATTTGAAGTATTACTTTTTGAGTCTTTGTGCAGGATTATGAGTTTTATGGTCTGCATTACATAGCCACTGAAGAGCAGATATTGAAACAGCACCATCAAAAGATCCTGCTCTAAACGGACATCCTTGTCCCATGTCAGAAAGCAAAACATCACCACATTCCAATTCACGCTCTACAGCAATATCTATAAAAGAAATCATTTTCAAACTTTCAACTACAAAGATTTTAAATAAAAAGAATCGTACCTAACATAGCAGGGCAATATCCATTCCTACCCAAATGTGGCCTTGCTCTTCAAGTACTTCTCCAGATAATCCAGATCCACAACCTATGTCTAATAATAAGCATGGTTCATCATCGGGCAATGTCAATAATTCTATAGCACGCTCTGACATTTGAGTCTGAATTTCAATAATTCTGGAACTATTAAAAGAAATATAAATTATAATAATTATAAATCAGTAAAAATATAGCAATTAACTATGTCAAGTGAGAAAGGGATAGAGAGTATGAAAATATATTGACACTATTCCTAGGACTTACTTTTGTGTATATTTCTTTGCTTCTTCTTCATTATAGTACTGTAAGCAAAATTATAAATATTATAATAACACAAATCAATAATTTTGTGCTAATTTTTAAATTAAATAAAATTTTCAAGCAAATGAGAACTCAATTATACTTACTACTTCTGGAGGTGCCAAATGTTCTGGACGTTTAGACATATTTATTCATATAATAAATAAGATAATAAAGTATTAATAATTTTATTTCATTAAGTTTAAAACAAATATTAAATGTTTACTATTAAATGTCAAAACAACGTGCTTTCCAAATATTTTTAGGTTAAGAATAGTACCAACATAAGAATTGAACTGACATTGACAGCTGGCACGTGCTAAGCTTCTATACAGATAGTTTTAGGTTATGTGTACTAATAAAACATAAATATATTTATTATTTATTGTATTGAATGGTTTAAAGAAATTTAACTGTTCAAAATGAATAATTTGAAACCACTCCTGGTTTTTGCTCCGACTGTGGATCTATATTACCTTTATTGAAAAATTCTGGTAAAGTGACTTGTTATTATGCAATCGGCAATATGGTTTAGAAGGCTAGTATTTCAATAAATAATGCTTTAAAATGTTTTGTCAAAATAATGATAGTTATGGTTTGTACTTGTCAAATTTTAGCTTTTGGTAATATGGAACTTTTCATGAATATCGAATTTAATTCATCTGATGCTTACACTGGTTCAAAATCAAAAAAAGAAAGAAAAGCAAAAATACTGAAAAAGAATCAGAAGGTCCTGTCATAGAAAGACGATGTCCAAAATGTGGCAATGATAAAATGTCTTATGCAACCTTACAGTTACGGTCAGCCGACGAGGGTCAAACTGTATTTTATACATGCACTAATTGCAAGTAAGTATAATTTTTGTACAAAATATTATGTTTTGCTGATTACTTCATATATAACTGATTGTTTAATTTTTAAATATAATTGTGATATTGTTAGATCAGATTACTTGCAGTCAAAATAATTTTTATTTTTTACATATTTTCAATTGAATCTTTTTCTTCCAGATATAAAGAAACTGAAAATTCTTAAACGACTGATAGGTAATTTATGGTTTTGAGGAATACTTAGATTTATAAGCATCAGATATAGATAATACTTAACTTGTTAAGCTAATTGTTTGATAAAATTCATTGACTTTGATCATAAAAAAAACATTATAAACTTGGATGGTATTGTATGCTATATGTACTTTGCGTCATCTCACTTTATTGAATTAAAATTTTAAGTAATGTTGCTTATGTTATCAGTAAGAACCTACTGTTTATCTTTTTTTTACTATTTTTCTTGTTGGTTTTCTTGTCTTGGCTTGATGTAGTTGCTGCCAATTTTTGATCTTATCAAGCGTTCTTTATTGTATTTATATTTTGATTTTTAAAGATTATTAGCTCAATTTAATTTCATATTGTAAAATCATATAAATCTAAAATATGTAAATTTATATTATATGTTAAAATAATTTATGGGATCGAAAGGTTCATTTAAATAAGGTGATAAGAAAAATATGTATATAATATTTTTGAGAAATATTTCAGTGATTAGTAAAATTTAATATCGCCTTTAATTAAATTTAGCGTCGCCAAAGTTACAGAATTAATATTATACATATAAATAAATGTGCCGACCATAGTCGGTATGCATATGCATACTACCTTAATGCAATATGAGAATATAATTAGTGGTCTTATGCGAATATTTTTTATACCGGAATGCTAAAATTAAAAGACTGGTTGAAAAACAGGTTCTCATATTTGTTTTGGTTCGGTTCGACTAAGGGTGAAGTTAAAAAAACTGCAAAGATGAGAATTTTCAAGCAATGCACATTTCAGATGAAATTCTGTTCTGTTTTTTGTAAATACCGTGGAGTATGGAAACCATGGAAACCGTGTACCTCCGTGGGTGCCGTGTAAAGCGAGGGTCTACTTTACTCATAATTTCAAATTTGTTATTAATTTCGTTGAAAGGTTGGCAACCTTATATTTAACGTGCGCCCTCGGCCTAACAGTAAACACGTGAAGATGTCTGTCGTTAGTTTTGACAGTTGTGTTATAAACCTATACTCACCTATACGTTTCTATAAACTCTGAATATTATTATTACAATTACAAGGATTATACATGGCTGAAGCGAACGTTGTTGAGTTGAAGGAAAAAATAATTGATTTCGTTTCAAAACATGAGTGTATATATGATAGGTATCATATGCACTATAGAAATAGATTTATAAATGATCCTTTATGGAACAAAATATCTTCTGAATTGAATATTAGTAGTAAGTACCACAATTATTAAATAACAAACATTGTCAAAACCTAACAAGTTTTCTCAAATTTAAGCCATGGCTGCAAGACAATACTGGAGAACTCTGAGAAGGGTTACATCAATTACAGGAGAGCTCGAAAACAGAACTTACATATAGGAAAATATCCGTGGGCTGCTCATTTATCATTTCTAGATAAGACTTTAGATAGCATAGAACAGTTTAATGATTGTGCCAAAAAGCAAATATATTCAGATGTAGTTGATTCATTAATAACATCGTCCCAAACAGAACAAATCACACATACTACAAAACCTAGTTCCAAACCAAATATAAATCACTCCAATACTTTGATGAAATGTCAGATTTTTCAAAGGAGTTGAATTGAATCATGAAGAAATTATGAATAAACTTAGGAATAGTAACACACAAAAATTAGATAGTGTTGATTATTTATTTCTTAGTTATGCTCAAACTTTCAAACAATTTCCTTGGAAAGACAAGCTACTCTCAAAGTAGACCTCGCTACATTATTTTCAGAAGCAGAATTATATGAAATAGATGAATCTAATAATGATTTGGAACTAGATGATCAGTTTGAAGTCATAGAAAATTAGACTCAGGTAATTAAGTAAGCTAAATTCTTTTTTTTAAATAGTTTAAATTAAGATTATTATTAGAACTTTTTAATTTATTTTCTCCTGGTATTTTTTTTTATTTAACTATATTATTGTATTTTCTAAATAATTATTTAAATGTTTTAGACAACAATGAATACAAAATAAATTTAGATATTTATAAATCATTTGTTCCATATTTTCTACTTACAGTAAAATAATAAATTATTTATCAACTTGTCGCATCACTGTAAATGCACTGTAAGCACCTCTTAATATCTGAAAAATATTTTAATGCAAACACACATTCATAAAATAATTAGAATATCGTGGGACATACTGTAATAAATGCTCGAAGATTCATTGGGTAAAAGCCGGCTTGAAAAACAAGTGGCTTCTGGCTTCGGGCCATTAGCAGACGCAATGCATTCTTAATTCTTTTGCTGCTATTTATCCATGGGGATTCAAATGCAGCTTGACACATATTAAGACTCTAGAATTAAATTTAATAAATAGAAATTTATACTTTAAATATTTGATTGATATACTTAACTACAGACATTAATTAAGAAAGTTGAAGCAGTAACACAAATTATGATATTTAACACTAGAAAGACGGACGAATTGAATATACCTACATTGCCTGAAAACAGTCAAAATGACTGCGTCGTGAAAAAAATAATAATGCGTTTAGAAATTTGTTTAAAATTAATTTTTATTATTTCATGTACTATTTACATTTATACAAATCATCTATAAGTGCTAAAATAAAAAAATAGTTCATCTGAAAAAGAAGTTCATTATTTTTACAATTCATGCAAATATAATTTAAGATGTTTTTATGAATACATTTTCCGCAAACATGTTTGTTGCAACTTTGACACGTATTATTAGTTTTATTATTATTACAAAGTCTTATTTAGCAAAATTTTCTTTTATTTCTATTGGTATTTGCATGATGTCTGTGGGTCATCATTTTCCTTTGATTTTTTTTGTGTTGATGTCGTGTAGTCCGCGGAAAGCTGTTCTGCCAATTCAAACAAAAACTGTTCTCTAAGGATTTGTTTTCTTTGGATTTTTATTCCTGTCGCTTCCTTGTAAAGAATCCAGGCATTTATCGCAGCCAAATCCAAAATATTGAAAAATATTTGCAGAGGTCATCTACTGGATTGGAACTGGATTTCACGGTATATTTTCTTTACCTTTGATCTGCCATGTCTTCTTTGCTGACCATAAATAAGTCAATTTCAATTTTTTTGCCTCATAGGCCCCACGAGCATATAAAATTCCAATAAATGCACGTATTTCCGGTAACGATGTTGTCCAATCGTACTCCGAAATTCGACTGCCCTCTTCTTCTGTGCACTGTTTTATGTGTTTGATAATATAATTATCTATTATCAACGAAAATGCACTGACAAGAGCACCTATAATAATTTTTTTTTTGCATAGCTTGTTGGCCCTTTCACACCCTTGAAGACACAATTAGATGATGACCTTCCTGGAGTACCACCTTCGGCAATTTTTGTCCATACAGTACCATCGACAGCTGTTCCGTTTCTTGAATTCTTTCATCAGTTTCTGAGCCACTTAGCACCCTCCTGCATACACTGATGGCACTTTCATTTTCATCAATAGTGATCACCTTCATCGCTACCCTCAGAATCAGATGATTCACGTGGAATATAATCCAATTCATCTTCAGATGATTGTGCCCAATTTTCTGCATTTTATTCTATGTCGGAACACTCTTCACTTATGTGTGTTAGCTTTTGCAACAATTCACTTCTCTTCGACATTTTATTTATAAGTTCTAAAAAATCAACTGAACAACGCGTTATACTGAAAGTTACTATGTGAAAAAGACCGGTCTAATGTCAATACTTACCATAATTCGGTTATTTCTATGTAACAAATGCATTATGGCTCATTCGAGATGAATTATCGCGAGATAACGATTTGCAATACAATAACAAAGCCGTTTGTTTATGTAAAATTTCTAGAGCAGTCAAAATGACTGTTTTCCGTCCATGCAGGCATAACATGTAAGAATATTGAAAATAAAAGTGAGATAAGGCAAATAATACGATTTATCTACGCATTCATATGTTGTATAAAAAGTCACAAAATTTCACGAAGCTGCGACTTCAAATACATAGTTATTTTTATGTTTGAAAATGGAAAACAGTCAAAATGACTGCGTCCGTCTTTCTAGTGTTAAAGATAAATTTGTTTCGAGAAATTTAAACTTTGTCTCACTTACTATGTACCAAATAGCGCTTATGTAAAAATACCGAAAATACCGGTATTTTTGGTGTAAATACCGGTAAAAATACCGCCGAAAAATCGGACGGTTTACCGGTAATTCGGTATACCGGTATTGCATTCTTTAGTATATTATATATACTATATACTTTCATACAATAAGTTTATTTCTATATTACAATTAACCCTCCGTCGGTCGGATATTTTTTCACCTTCGAACGGTCGGAAAGGTCTGGCTGTACCACCATTCATTTACATGTATTTATATGGAATAAATGAGTTTTGGTGTCTTATATATTAACGATTATTAGTAGTAAATATTTATAGTTTTGATTTTTTCTTTTTCTACCGTCTTTTGCATGTGTTGAGTTTGCTTATAATAAAAATATTACATATTATATAAAAAAAATCAAGAAATATGAAAAATCGTTGCTTTTTTTTTGTTAATTATTCTGTTTTATATCAATGAAAAACAATATTTATTCTTTTTCGGCGCCTTTGAAATGAATGTGAAATTCAAATGAAAACGAAATGAGGTGCGTCGCCTTTGAAATAAGCTGTAAAACTCAAAGTGAAAATATAATTTCACTACAGGTTTACCAAAAAAAAATTCAAACGCAGTACGGGTAGAAAAATGTGTGCATTACTCATCCGATTTTCAGTGTTTGCGATTACCAATAAGTTTGGTAGGTTTTCAAGGAACTCTCGTCATGAAAATACTAACATTCATGTTACAACACATAGCACAGTGGCGGATCCCCCCCTGAGCCTGTTTTAGGACTTAGATAAAACACTAATTCAACAACAAAATTACTTCATAATGATTTTATTTATGTATTTTGTTACCAAACACTTTTATAACTTGAATATTTAACTGATTGTAGACGAATGACGGAGTCAAAAACCCTAAAATGTAAGGATTTTCTAATCGTATTGCGAATATATGTTTTATTACAGTTCAGGAACAAAATTTCATTCAAAAATCAAAAAATTAAACTGATTGTGAGTGGTCCTTATGCATGAACTTTCAGTAATCCTAACATCTGTAAATAGACGACTTAATCAATATATAAACTAGTGGGGTGCCTTAAGGCAAATTGCTGGAACTTCTTGTACCTTAACGAAATGTTCGAGAAATATTAAATGTTTTCAAATAGATTATTATAAATATTGTAACAATGTCTGATATTTATAAGAATTATTTAAACTGAATTGCAAAGTTAAAACTATTTGTTTGAAGTATATAAGTTTTAAACTTTAGTCAGAATCAATATTATAATCTTAAAATTATTATAATATTAAAATCTGAATTATTTTCCATATACAAAAAAAAAGTTTAGAAAAAAAAATAAGCCAAATTTTTTTTTCAAAAGCAATTATTATGTCAAAACAAGCAGAAAGTTCTTTGGAGAAAGTATGTGTGTGTGTATGTCTGAGTGTGTGTGTGTGTGAACAGATTTTTTGCTGAAAATCGGCGTTTTCTCAAAAACGGCTGGACCGATTTCAAAAATTTAAAAGCCATTCGATGTATCGCGATGAGGACTAGCGTTTAGCAATTTTGCGCGACGACCAGCCAAGTCGTTTCTTTGTAAATAGCAGAAAAGTGAAAAAAATTTCGTCCACATTTTAGCCCGCAGTTCTGAATCGATTTCGAAAATTCAAAAACCGTTCGAAAGGTATTGGTTGGGAATCGTGCTGATGAGTTGTTGGTAGAGATCGGCCTGGCCGTTTTCTTGTAATGAAGTGTTGAAAAAATTTTTTGCGGGTAGATACCATAGTCTTCTAGATCATACAAATACGGCCACACGACAACTCGTTTAGCTTTAAAAATTCGTCAAAGTTTGCAAAATAAGTATCGATTTTTTGGCATTTGTCAAAATTAGACTTTTCGTCGGCGATTGCTCAAAAACGTCTGGACCGAAAACCATTTGATGTGTCTAAATGAGGACTAACGCTTGTCAGTTTTGTGCGACAATCGGCCGAGCCGTTTCTCTGAAATTTGGAAAAAAGATTTAAACTTTTCGTCCACATTTAAGCACAAACTACCGATTCGATTTTAAAAAATTAAAAACTGTTCGAAAGATATTAGTTGAGAATGAAACTGATTAGTTTAGGTGAAAATCTACCGTTTGCTTGTATTTCGTCGTTGAAAAAATATTTGAGCCGATTTTTATGAAACTTTTTTGATGATATATATCATGATCTTATACAACGTATTGAAATATTACGGCCTTACGACAAGTAGTTTAATTTTGAAAATTCATCAAAGTTTGAGAAAATGAGTAGTTTTTTTGACGTTTGTTAAAATTAAAAGTAGACGATTTACTTGGTTTATCGATAAGTACTTGGTCTTAATGAACATACTTAACCATTAAAATCCTACGGCAACTAGTTCAATTATAAAATTATTGAATTTTGAAAATTTGCCTTTAGAAAATACTCCGAGTTAATGTCTTCGTTTTCAATTATGTGTGATATTGTAAATCCACTGGGAATACCTTGAATCCCTCATAAATTAATTTATTTTTTACTGAAAGTCGATTATTAACAAATTTCGGGAAGTTCATGTAACTTGCCTAAAGGCAAAATACCAATACAAACTAGTTAAAAAATGGTTTGAATATTACACATTGATGGAAAACGAACACATACGAAATACGAAGCCGAATACATACACACGGTGTATTTTTTAAAAGCGCGGCCAAATAATCCAAACTTTAATTATCATAAGTAAAACCACTTGTCGCAGGCCTTATTATAGTTTAATACGTTCATTTAGAGTAGAAAATCTATCGCCATGCAAAGTGTCACTTAAATCGCCAAAAAATGTGACAATCTATTATGAAAAAGAAACGACTTGACCGATCTTCGACAGAAACTATTTATTTCCAAATGGTATCAATCGAATAAAAAACGGCTAAGAATTTTTTACAAAACCATGGACGATAATTTTTGCACTTTTCTGCCAATAGTAAAGAAACGGATCGACCAATTGTCTCAAAAAACTAATCAACGCAAGCGCTTATCCAGTTTCATTTTATAGTTTTTAAATTTTAACATCGGTTTAGACGAGAAAACATCGAGAAAAGATCGTTTTTTAAAAAATACACATACATAAGGTAAGGCTAAGTAAATTTGAGCAATTATATTGTGAAAAATAAACGAAAAACATAACAACCAATAAGACACAATAAACAAAAAACCATCTGACTATGTTTTAGTACAACCTCCAGTTAATTCATCACTGTAAAAATGTGTTTTTTTTTTGCTGTTTTTAAAAAAACTGTCACTTGGTCTTTTTTTACCCCAAAGGCGTAGTAAAATCGGACGGCGAGAGGACAAACAATCCAATTTACAATTTTCAATTTTAAAAGGATTTAACGAAATAATAGCTACATTACTCAACCAATAAAAAATATGAATTTTATAGATACATTTTTTACAGAGATAACTCTGTATTTGATACTTTGTCCAATATCTTGTCTCTTGATTTGATATTTTGTCCAAAATAGTCACCAGCAGAGTTGAAATAAAGATTTATTTAATTTATCTTTTGTAAAAATGCTTTTTTTAACGTCGTAAGAATCAGGGTGATGGCTTGTTGTACATTTTTTCCTCTACTTTCAAATATTGTTGTTAAGAAATCCTTAACTTTACTTGTTTTTGAGATATCGGTGGTGGACCGTTTTACCCGCAAATATTTAAGCCCCGCTCTATCTTATATAGATATATATATATAATATATATATATATATATTTGTTACATACTCATTGAGAAGTATTGAAACTTTTCAATTATGACCCCCCCCTGACGCCGAAGCTGGATCCGCCACTGACATAGCAAAGAATATATACAACGCAGTTTTGAATAGAAAAATACCATGAAAAAGACAAAATACTGGTTTACATATATCAAAAGCGTATATTTCATACTAAATATAATGGTATGAGAACTCTAGACAGACCTTTCCGACCGTTCGAAGTATAAAAAAGTTAATATCCTTATAATTATCCTTCTGTACATTTTTCGTCCTGATTTTTTTATTGATCGACAGCTAATGAAATTTTAGGAAAAGTCAAGAAATTTCAAGTCGATAGGATTACTAGAAGTATTTTTTTTTAATTGAAGTCGAAAAAAGTCTGGCCAGACCACGCCGACCGACGGAGGGTTAAGTAATTATAATTACACAACTGTATTTATTATTGATACAACATAAAAACAATTCCAAAAACAAAAACCAGTATAAAACACAGCTAACAGACCAAATTAATCAGCTCAAACATAACATAGATTTTTCCAATCCCACGATCCTACATTTCGAAAATAATTTATTTAAAAAAAGATTTAGCGAAGGATGCCATATCATTACACAATGAGACAGCTAT